CTCGTTCGTAACCTTTTCTCACTGCCACGCACGAGGGTGTCCCAGCCAAGAGTGCGGCTGCTGTGAATAACCCTGGCACCCCTGGCAACTGGATTTACTTAATGCAGCTCACCACAGGTCTCTCCACACTGAGCATGTCAGTTGGTGTTCAAGCCTAAGCACAAGTGACTGCACAAAGATCCTGGTGGCTTTACACCTGGTAATGTCCTCAGGACGGCTCACCTCCTGCTCACCTGCTTGGGGAGGGCCCCAAGGCTCACAGACCCCTTCTCCCTCCTGCTCTGGGTCATCTCTCCCTGCCCTCTTCAAGGAGTGTTCGTGCACAGCCTCAGCACTCCATGGTGTTACCTGTTTGTGGCACTTTGCTCTACATCCTGCAAACACTGTGTCACGTCCCATGAACAGGAACGTCACTGACAGCTGGTGGCAAGGGTCAGTTCAGCCCTGACTTCTTGCAGCTTCGGGTATGACATCTGTGCAAAGAGCAGGGATCAGATGAGGGCAATCATTCCCTTTTCCTTTGTCATTCTTAGAGTCAATGATGGGGAGCTTTTCTTTGCAATCATGCTGCACAGAGATGATGGGTTCGATTACAGTAATTAATGGACTATTTAATCACACTTTGTGCCTGCTGGGTGCAGGCACAGGCCCGTGGTTGTGACCTGAATTATGTTGCAGCATGCTGTGCTGGGCACAGCCACACACTTTTCACTCTCTGCCACTGTTGCTGCAAGGCAAACCCCATTATTTGTTGCAAAGTAGATAAATCAGGTTACTTAGGTCACGTTTTTCCAGTCCCAGAAGCTGTTGCCTTCCTGTTACCCTCTGCTGCCATCATGGGGCCTCTTCGTCGTTGCAACCTTTTCTGTGTGCCTCTTACCTGAGCGGTTTAGATTTTCATAGCAAATGGACTTTCCCCCAGAGCCTGGGAGCATTTCAGACCCGTTGAGGTTATTTGCAAAGGAGAGGAAATCACATTAGTCATTTTCAGCTCCCTATGCGTTGTTTAGCCTTTTTTAATAAACTTCTTTTCCTCTTTGCCTTGTTCCTACATGGTCTTTCTCAGTTGCAGATGATTGGCAAGAACATGAGCCCAAGCCAGAGCTGGCCACCACTGATGCAGACATAAAATATGAACACAGAAAATATGAAGATTTAAATGCAAAGAACAAAAATAAAAGAATTGCAGATGTCACTAATGTCACTGGGGGCTCCCGAAGAAGGGCTGGGTGCCCAGAAGAGCTTTCAGCTGCCATGGGAGAAAGATGTGACTCACAACGCATCCACACGTGGTTGTATAGGGAGGAAATGCATTGAACGAGGCTGTAACACTACAGCAAGTTGTATCAGAGCGATGGTGGGATGGCTGCGGGAGGAATGCCAGCACAAACGCAGGCAAAGAAAGCAGCATTACCGAAAGGAGAGGAAAATGGTTGGGAAATGCCTGGATGTGTGCAGGACTGACCTGCACTGTCTCAAAGAAGGAAATGGGCTCCCCAGTCCAAGCATTGGCCATGGCACCTCTTGGTCCTCCAGTCCTGGAATGTCTCTGCTGTTTCTTCCCCTCCCCTTTGCAGGGGTCTGGCTGCAGCCTCCAGTCACACACAGTAGTGCTGAGGCTTGCTGCTCATCAGTGCATAGAAAGGTGCAAGGGAAAGATGATGGGGAAAATCAGGTTGCTCCCAGCCCTCAAGTCAGGGGATGCCTTCTGCTTTTCCAAAGGAAAAAAAAAAGATAAGTAGACAAGGAAAAGAGTAATATAGCTCCTATTTCTCCAGTTGGAAGATAAGATTTATTTATAATGATTAATCCTTCCAGGCTACTTTACACAACATAAAGAAGGAGAGAAAGGGTATAATCCTGTTTTCTCCCTCCATTTCCATGTCACCTTTAGTAGCAGCATTAGAGAGTAACCAGCTCCAAACCCCAGCAAAGGCAGGGGATATATTCAGGATGTTTTCTATGCTTGTATAAGTATGCTTCCTTCTTTGAAGCTGTGATACAGTCCATTCTCAGCAGACCTTTCCCAGACATGGCTGTGAAACCAGAGCTTGAAAAGTATTGTCCTCTCATGCAAAAGTCAGCCCTCATCCCACTGATCAGACAATATTTGCCCTAAAAAAGTGACACGTTGTTTAGCCAAATCACAGGTATGCACATACACTCACTGACAGGCAATTGCAAACAAAACCAAAGACAGGATTAAAAAAGAAGAACAGAATATTAAGCTCCTATCAAGAGGTAATTAAAACCAGGAGGAGAAATAATGATGACTATCATAATGAAGCAATTGGTGCAGGATGTTTGCCCAACAAATTACTGTCATTATAGACAGAAGCAGGAATCAGTACCCATCAGCAGAAATACAGTCCATTGAACTGCTGCAAATGACCTGATCAGGTTTAGAGAGTAATTAAAAGGACATTCCAACCTGGATGCAGTATTTGCTGTTAATCATGATTACTCATATTCATATATTTACCCAAATAATTGCTCCTGATAAGGGCTGCAGATTTATAGGGGGCCATGGAAAGGAGTGGGCCAGTGGCGCATTCTGGTTGTGAGACAGCTGAGAGCCTGGAGTGACCACGGTTTGGTGAGTACCGCTGTGCTGGCACGTTCAGGCTGGATGGGATGTCTTCTCCCCTCTTTCAGTTTTTGGGTGGTGGATTTCAAGCCTCCATGATGCTTTGCTGAGACACTGCCATCAGGCCATCCATCTCCTGAACAGCAATGCTGGCAATATGTGGGGTTTTCCTCCTCTGGAGCAACTGGAGGAAAGAACAGAGCCCCCACAGCAGCTGGACCAGATGGCTTCCAGAAATACGTGGTCTTCAGGTTTAGGTAGAGCACAATGGATGGGCAGGAGCAAGCAGGTGCATAAACTGGCTGTGTACCAGCCTTTTTGGAAGCTCTCCTAGCTCCTGCAGGGTGATGGGAGCCTTGGTTCAGCAAAGCCTTTGGGTGTGATGACATTTCAGCAGTAGGATTTGTCTGCTGGAAAGGTCTGAGACACTCCCAGTTCCTGGGCTGGCTTGGTGCATGCTTCTTTCAGTGAAAGGCCCCAGCTAGCTAAGGAGTTGGCATTTATTGAAAGCCAGCATCACTGGGGAGAGCAATAAAAACTCGGAAGTATCTTAAGAAGGTTAAACAGCTCTAATGTAATGACACTGAAGCTCTACCTCCCTAGGGCCTGACTGATTAAAAATCCAATGCAATACCTCATTATTGATACATGGGAGAAGTTCCCCAACAGCTGTTACTGATCTGAGCAACTTATCAAGCAAGTATGATCTGCACAGGGAAGACAAAATTATGTCCAGAAAGGGAAAAGACAAGTTGATCCACTTGATTAGCAGCTAGAAAGGTTATGAAGACGGAGGAAGCTCTGGAACTAGGGATGGGGTTTAAAATGGGCTCTTGGATGTGGTGCTCCAAGACAAATGGCAGCCAGGCTTGGCACAAGGAAGAGCAGAATGCTGTGGTGAGATCCTGGCTGGGGTCAAGGCATTGCGTGGCAGGTGTTGTACAGACTGAAGGGCAGGCTCAGGATCCAGGTTTCCCTTCCCTCAAGGCTGGTGTGCTCTGGTTTTGGTGCCTGTTTCAGCTGTTTCGCAACCCTTGGCTGAGAAGAAGCACTGTGGAGTCTGTTTTGTTCAGACTCCAATAAGAAACTGATCTTTGAAATGTCCTTTGTGTTTTACTTATTCCATCTCCTTCAAAGCTGAGTCAGGCAGGAAAACGCAACACTAAAGCAGCAGAAGTCTGTGTGAGATGAAGCTTATGGCTCCTTAATAATGCAAATCCTCTCACCTGTTTGCTCTGCAACCCCCATTAAATCTTTGTGCAGTGGCTTACAGTGAATAAATTCCTTTATAAAATCCCCACTCTTGTCCTTCCTCCTCTTGCCTCTTCTTATCTTGCAGTATTTCTAGAGCAGCAAACAGTCCCAGAAGGGTGTCTAGAAAGTGTTCAAGAAACTCTGACAGTCCTTTAGCGCTCTTTGTACTGTCTTGTTTCAGACTAAAATAAAAGTGGGAGGACCTTGATTTTGGGTTAGCAAGTACAATCTGAGAGTTTCCAGGACAGTGGCTAAGAAAGCAAGGTTTGCTTCTTTGCAGGAGGAAGGCAGATATATTATAAATCACCGACATGGCTCCTGTGTAATCCTTGGGGAAATGTGAGCACCCCCTTATAAAGGCAAATACGCATCTCTGCAGGCATAGGGCTGCAAAAAGAGCCTGGAAATAAAAGGGAAAAACTTGCAATGGCTTGTGATAAACAAAATGTGCTTTTCTTTTTATTTTAGTAAGAAAACAAAATATGAGGTTCTGCTGCTACTGAAAATGTGTGCTATTTCTTTTTTTCTTCTTGAAAGATTAGAGAATAGGCAGATATCGGCACACACAAGAGCCCTTCCCTTCCCCTGTGTGTAGATGAACATTTATTTCATACGTCTTTTTTTTTTTGGTCCGAAAAAACTCAAACAAATTTCTCCTGGGCATCCTTTAGGCATACTAATAACTGTCCATGTGGAATGTTTTCACGGCACTTTAAATCTTCTCCCTGAAGGCTCAGCTCTCAGAGACTCATAGTAGATTGGGCTTTATTCCATGGTGTTATGCCACTGATGGGTTAACTCACATGGTACCTCCCTGCATATTAAAGGCATTTTATACTGACTCAGCAAAACTCCAGCACAAACATCATCTCACACAGCCAAACACAGACCCGTGCTCTGGGACTGTGTGGTGGTGGGGGGGGCATAACAACAACTAACAACTTCCAACTAACTGAATTGTTTGAATGATGAATTATTTGAATCATTCATTTTCTGCATTTTAAAGAAATACTCTCTTTGCTGGCAGGAATTCCTGCCTAATTTAGTTATAGCTGTGTTACTTACATAGCCGTGTCTTCTGTATGGCATGTGAACTGTGCCAAAGACTAAGGTCATTTGTTCTGCTCCTCATAAAACCTTGTGCTTTAATTCAGGAGAGAACATGGTTTCCCTGAGGACTGGTCTGTGGCAACTAATTATTCCCATGATTGTCCTGTCCCACTTCTCAGCATCTCTTCCATCCTGGGAGAGGTAAGCATTTCTTGTGCCTCTGCTTCCTTTTACTCCGTGGCTTTTAGTTCAAAGAGCCTGCTAGCTATGAAGTCAACCTTTTATCTTCCTTCCAGAAGTTGCATCTGCTTGACTGTTGGATTTTTTCTTCCCTAAATTGATTTAGTTAAATGAGTGCAAATGTTGTAATAATTTTTCTTGCTTGAGAATGGTAACATTGATTTGACTTAACTCAGGAGAAAAATCAGGGCCCTTTTTTGTGAAACTTTGCCAAATTGGCACAAATTCTTGCCCATCTTTGTCTGCAACGCTCTTTCCTTGAGGGAGCAGTTTTAAATGCCTGTTCTCCTCTGGTCTTAGAACCATGCCTTTTCACCTTTTTTTTTTCCTCCTCTCACCTCCTAGGACTGAGAGACACGCTGATGGGCTCTTCCACAGTGAGCTCAGCAAGATGAACGGCAATGCCTATGTGCAGCAGCTAGTCAAACACCTGGTGGGACTCAAGGAGAGGTAAGGACGCACCAAACCCACCTTCCTGGGGCAGGGAAGTCTCCAGCAGGAGATGAGATCCCAGCAATGAGGGGGATGCCTGTGGGGCTGAGCTATCTCCAGCTCCAGAGCCAGCCTCAGCACTGACCTCATCCAGAAGATGCCTAAGATGAAAGGAGAGAGGAGAAGGGGAGGGATGCAGGGCTCCTTGATGGTGGGAAGAGAGAAATTTCTGTGGTTTGTGGTAAGTCCCACACCATGCGGCTGGGAGGAGCTGCCACTGCACTGTATTTTCCCTGATGCAGGTCCCAGAGACACTCAGATGGACTGTTTACCAGTGAATACAGCAAGATAAGAGGAAATGCGCAGGTTCAGAAATTCATACAAAATCTCATGGGCCACAAGCGCAGGTGAGAGCTCTGCTTTCTGGGGAATGAGAAGGCAGCTTGGGCTGCAGGCTGTGGGGAGGCAGGTCTCAGATCCAAGGAATGGGGGGTGGCATGACCAATGGTTTGGAAAAACTCAAGACAAGGGCAAGCGGGCTGGGGCTTGGTCTCCTCCTGCTAGGTTGTGCCCGGAGCTGCTGTGCAATAGCAGAGATATCCGTTCAGCCTGCCCTGCCTGTGAGAGCAGGCAGCACAGGACACAAACCTTCACACTGAGGCCACTTCTAAGCATAAAACAACGTTAGCTATTGCATATGCATATCAAGCTTAATCCATAGGACACAAAACTTTACATCGGATCACAGCCTGTGATTTTTTGTTTGCATTTTGATTTAGTCTTTTGGAAAAGTTGTAGGTGATTTACCTACTTCAAATAAAGCACCTGAGAAAATGTTTGTAGATCAATGGGCTCCGTAGCAGAATGAGGAAGACCTCTGGGTTTTGCAGTCCCCACCCATGGCTCTGGCTGCCAAAATGGGCAGGCTTTAGACATAATCATATATATGGCCGTACAAGGTCTTTCATCCGGTCAAAATATGGGGCCACTAGCTCCCACTGAAGCCACATATATGAGCATATCATCAGGTTACATACGTGTTGCACTGTGATGCAGCTCACAACTGCTGCAGCCCTTGGCACTGGTATGTTGTGAAGGGAGAGCATTGCCTGACAGGTTTCCTTCAAGTTTGGTCCTTTCTTCCCATCTGTTCAGAAAATACTTGTTTGACATTTTCTGGAGCACACAGCACTAATAAAATCCTGGCACATGAAGCAGAATTTAATTTCCAAATGCTGGAAAAAGGTATACACCCATGGGCGGAAGGACATGCCAGTAGAGTGCAAGTGCATATTAAAACCTGTCCCTTTGCCAGTGAGAAAGCGTCTGAGCCTGATTTGAAGAGGATACTTCTTTTTCTTCCTGCACAGCTACTGTGGCAGTCAGGAGGTTAACAGAGCATGGACTATCCAGACAGCAGTGCTGCTTTACAGCTGTGGTGGTTATACTATTTGTTTGGGGTTTTTAAAATCATTATTATTTTTCTTTATCTAAACCAGCTCTCCAGGCCCAGTCAACAGAGATGTGCAGGGGAGAGAGGAAGAAAACAGCCATGAGAAACTTTGCTTTATGTGGTTGTACCAGAGCTTTCTAAACACTAGGTAGGTGAGGCAGATTTGTCACTTCTGTGGCCCTGATCACCACAGCACTGAAGCTAAAAGAAGACTTTGGGTAACTTGCAAATGCCCAGTTTTTGCCCCAAGCACAGAAGTCTGATGTAATGCAGCAGATCAGAAGGGCTCAGCTGATACACTCAAAAATATCCTCAAAAAGGGGAAGAGTGGAAGATTTATTAAATTGTCCATATTTTAAAATGACTTCTGCCTCATTCCCTGTCAGCTTGTGAGGCACTGTCTTGGGGACTGTCATTGCTGAATTGCAGCCCTCCATCACACAGTGTTGTACCTCCTGTCGCTCTGCCAGCAACCACACACTCCCAGGGCTGGCTTGCAGAGTTAGAAAAGCAAATGCTTTAGTCTGACTTCAAGGTGACATGTGGCTGTGTGCAATCTCAACTGATTTCTGTGCCTGCATTCAAAGTAATCTCTACTTCTATGTGCCGAACACACCTGGCACTCAGTTTTGCCTTACCTAAAGCAAAGCTGTCATTGAGATTTACAGCTAAGGAGTGCCACGTAAAAGCCAGTTATTAAAAAACAATAAACCCCAGGGAAATGAAATAATATATTTTTCTAATCATAGATTTGTCATCATGGGCTGAAACAATTGTTTTTCCCATTCGGAAACCTGGCCTAACAGTTAAAATAGAAAGCCTCTGGTACCCTGTCTTGATTCAGTTGTTGACTCAAACACACACCTCAGGATGGGCTGTCCCAGATCCCGGACATTGTTTCTTCCTAGTGGCCAACCACTTTCAATTAGACATCTCACTATTAAATCCCTAAAATTAGGAGAAATAAGCTGGCCCTTATTACCTCTTGTCTGCATTGTCTGGAATACATAATTATAACACCAGTAGGCTTGCCTGGGCATTTGTGGGGTGCCTGGCTGCAGGCAGCCACGGTCTGGGTCCCTCTATCATACATCTGCTCCTTGGAATCATCTTTGAATTTTCCAGGATGGCCTTTTCACACTTTGTGTAGTCCACACTATCAGGAATAACAAACTGTCACTCATTTTTTCCCTCCCAACAGCCACTTGGACAGCGATGCCAGGGAAGCTGCTGCGGTTACCAGCCAGTACATTTGCCCCATCTCTAAGCAGCTGGTTGCAGACATGAAGGAAAATACAGAGAGTTTTGACTGAAGGTGAAGGGGAAGAAACAGCCAAGGAGAAAGCTTTGCCTGTACATAGCTTTGAAAATAAACAAGGAAGCTATTGAATTTGCTTAGGAAAAAATCTTGAGATCAGCAAATTAAAAAAAAATTCCAGAAAGCAACCAAAACCCAATAAAACCTCGTAGATTATCAAGAGTGAAATTGTGTCAGTGTGAACTCATGTCAGTAGGTGGAGCCTGAATGAAGCACATCACTCCCACTCTGTGTTAGCGTCTGTCTGCCAGCTTCTAAAGTCAAATAAAGATGTTAGCTATTCCTGTGCTTTGGCTCCTCTCTGGGAAACAGTTATAAGGGTGGTACCATTGGTGCTGGACCATTAGGAACACAGAGGGAGGCAAGAAGTATTTTTCCAGGCTTCCCCCACTGACGTACAGGGGCATGGACTAGCTGGAGTCACTGGCCACGTCTTCTGTGGCTGGGACTCAGCACTGCCCACAGTCCAGTTGTTCAAAGTAGCAGGGCCTCTGTTTAGCAGAAACTTAGCCAGGTGCTAGATTTTACTGAAAAGAAATGTACTGAGAGCTAAGCAACATAGCCATACACTATAAATATTGTTTCCACTCCATTCTGCCCCTGTATTTACTGGTCCAGCTTTCTCATAGCCACTAAAGACAAAGCCTCTCTAGGAGAAATTTGTTCCCACCATTTAATGAGGTTTGTATGTTCTCCGTGCACCACACTGCCTGGCAGATTGTCTCCTCTGATCGAACAGCAACTCCAACTTTTCTGTAAAACCAAACAGATCTTGAAGTGCAGCTCTAAAATAAGTCATCTTCAGCGGCAATCATGTGTGCCTCCCACAGAACTGCTCAGTCCCCCTGCACTACCAGTTTTCCCCAATTACGATGTACCTGACATCTGCAAAGCCAGTCCCTCCCCAGTGTTCATCTAAGCACCCATTCCCTTGCTGTGATGCTGAAACGCTGCTCTCACAGACCTTGGCCCTTGTTTATTTTGGTCTGTAGGAAATCTCTGCTGGGAAAGAGACCTCTCGGAGGACTTCTGAAAGGAGTGCTGACAGTCTGCATTTTGTTAAGCCACTAACAGCCATCTGGCTAATATGCAGCATTTGAGAATTCTCTGAAATAAATTGGGATTTTAAAAGGAGCAGCGAGAGCAGCTATTCCCTTTCTCCTCCTACGCAATGGTCAGGTTGAAAACAATGGTGTTTCTTTGCCTAAGTGGTCAAATGCTTTGCCACATTATATTTGGCTTGGAAAAATTTACACAGGCTCAGAAAAAGACAGGACAAGACAGCAGGATAGCATGCTATGGAGGCTTCAGGAAGCTGCTAAGATGTAGACGATTGGAACCTGGATGGAGATTCTGGGGAGCATCCCTACAAAGACCCAGTAACAACATGATAGACTGCAACTAGAAGAGAGAAACCGTAAGTCATGAGCTGGAGAGCAAAACCTGTTATAAAAGGGAATGTCAGACATGCAGAAAAAGCCTGGATAAAATAAATAAGACAGAGGGGGTATAGTAGCATCGTTATGCCTTTTTCTAGGAAATATTCTAACCAAAACAGACGCTGTCTCTGGCACATCAGAAACACAAATTTGCCTGCTTCCTCCCCACTGTGAGAGGCTGGAGTGTACAGACAACTTCCCAACTGTCAGCCCTTGTCCTCCTTCATACTCATTCTCATCTCAGGGGGCTTGGCTCTGAATTCTGAAATGCTTCAAATATATCATTGCTACAGAGAGTTTAGGCTAAGAAACAGGAATTCATGTGTTATCATGTTCCGTGACCAGTAATTATCTTTCAACAAGTCATCCAATGAGGCAAAGAGGCAAAGGTTGAACTGCAGCATTCTACTCCAACCAGCCAATGTTTTTTGCCGTCGTGAAGCAGTGAATGCAGAAGACAGCACTGGGAAACAGGGAAGGAAGAGGATCAGCTTAATCAGAAACAAGGATTTTTTCAGCAACTGGCAGCTCACCATGGCTATTTCTGTCTGGCTCCTCACTTCTCTGCTCTTTCTGCTGCCCTTCATAACACGGGTTTCAGCACAGCAACAAGGTAAGCTCTTGCAGGAGGTCCATGACCACAGAGGAATAACCCCACGGCAGCAGGTTGCACTGTTACAGGTGGGAGATGCCTACACTCTTACTCCGAGGCAGCTTTTTCAATGACCTTATCTCCAATGGTAACAGAGGGGCCTGGGGTCTCAGGTCTCACCTAACTCTATCACAATGTGAATCCCTGGGCAATTTCGTGTCTCATTTGTGTGTTTTTCCAGGATGTTCTGTTGATAATAGCAAACCAAGCGTTTATGAAAATAATCATCCTGGCTATGTGGTGACCACTATCCGTGTGGAACCAGGCTTCACTGTCATGATTGATCCTGCTTCCCCCGATGGCAGTTTTTTCACTATACAAGGGTCTGAGCTGCAGCTGAAGCAAAGTGTGGACTATGAGGTAAGCTTCTCTCCCTGTGATTCCTGTAACATGTCAGCAGAGCTAATCAGCCATTTTCTCTCACTTTAGGTGAATTCAAACGAGATTTCTTTTAAAATTGAATGAAACAGAAATGTACCATGCAGTAGAGTCACCTGCAGGGTGTTAACTCTGCTGCTCTTCACTCAAATGTGGGGTTTTACAGTAGGGGAACGGCAGCTTAAGAATGTTTGTCGTTGTGTACAAAGTGCACCAGGAAGGTAAAATAATTTAGCAGCAACCTAACTGAACACACTGACCTTTTATATTGCCTTTATACTTCATACAAGCTGATCTTGCTTTGACTCCAAACAAGACCCCAAAGCTGATGGATGGCTGTAAAGGAAAGAAAGGAAAAGTTAGATATGCTTGAAGACAAGATAAAGCCCAACAGCATTTCTGATTCAGCAATATGTGTGTTTATCTTATTTACTGTAGAAAGAGTTAGTATATTCTGGCTTGTTCCTATAATGGCTGGGGTTTTGTTTTTGCATACAGAAAGACACTGCACTGCTGGTGTACCTGATTTGCCAGAACACTGCTGGACAGGTGAGTGTTCTTCCAAACACTCCACCCGGTTACAAAGTACTGCAGGGCAGCACGTACTTCCCTCTGCTCTTCCGGGTCCACAGACCAGGATGAGGAGATGTCCTTTTCTTTGTGGATGTACACACTCCTCTCACAGTCAGAGAGTGCCCAAGGCTCTGCGAATGGCAAGGGCCTGAGAACAAACCCACAACCCGCCCCCCACCCCACATACTATGGGCTGGCTGCAAGCCCCAGTCCCCATCCAGTCCCCATCCGGCTGTGCTTACGCCATCCCCTCTGCTCACTCTGCAAATCCAGATCAGCCCCTAACAGTCTTATTTTTGTCTTTGATTCTCTTGCTTTACCCTTTCTGCAGACCAATTCTTTGCAAATTGTCGTGACCATTCTCAACGAGAATGATAACAGCCCAGTGTTTAAGCAAACGAATCTCAACAGAGTTGTTCCTGAGGTAAGGAATTTACAGAAGTGAAGAGGGCACTGGGTCACCCAGTGCTGTGGGACTAAGGAAGGGTTAGCAGGGAGAAGACTTCAGCCAGTTTCACAGAGAGAATAACAACAGCAACTTTGTTTCAGGATACAGAAGTGAACACAACCATTGTAGCCCAGGAAGACTTAAGTGCTAGCGATGCTGACCTGGACACCATCTATTACGAACTCACAACAACAGTGCCGGTGAGCATCTTTGTTCTTGGGGGAAAAATGGTAGCTCTGGAGAAGTCTTTATGTTTAATTCAGAATAGCCCCAGCTTTGAGGCTATGGTCACTGTATTGCATTTAGTTTTCTGACAGCTTCTGGAAGAGGTATGTCTTTTGGAAAAACAAAGCATTGGTTTGGTTAGCAGAACAGAGCAATCAGCATTGCAGGTATTGAATTTTTTTACTGCTCATGCTTTTATTACCCCATGGAGATTAAACTTTCACCTAGGATATTGTGAGCCATATGACCCATCTTGTTGGGATGGTCTGTAAACACACCAGGGGAGACCTTTGTGCCTCACGGAGTTCAGAATTGCACTGAGGTGGATAGGGAAGGAAAGAATTATTGTCCTGTTTGCCAGCAGTCTCCATGCAGAGTGGAGATAACATGAGCTGCCCAAGATCACACAGTCTCTTTGGCAAAGCCAAAGACAGACTCCACTTTCCCCAGGTCCCATTTTAGTGCCTTTGCTTATTTGCTCTTAAGGGGTTTGCTTGATAACATGGGAAATGAATTGCATGCACAGTTAAATTGATGCCAGCCTAGAGTGCAGGGGCTAGAAACAAAGAAAACCCAAAAAACAAAACAAAACAAAAAAAAAAAACCAACCCCCAAACCCCCAAAACAAACAAACAAACAAACCCTCACAAAATTAATGAGGAAAACAAAATATATATTTACATTTACAAAAAATGTGGAGTGAGCAGGCAGTGTCTGGCATTCTGCCTCCATTACCTTCACAATTCCAGGGATTTTAAGGGTTGTGAACAGAAACCACAAGTTTTTGAATTTCAGCTATGGGACCAAACTTTGCACTCACATTGGTGTAAATCCAGAGGGATTTGTAAATCCAGAGGAATTCTAGTCAAGACATAATATTAGAGAACCAAAGCAAGTACAGAAGGTACACAACTTATGCTATTTCAATTTAGCTTTACTTGCTTCCAAAGTTCTGCTGTGTTAGGCTGAGGCAAGTGATGGGTCAGAGGCTGACCCATCTTTGATCTGTTTTGTGCATGGATGTGAGATTGCTTGGCTGTCATGGACCCAAAATTGAGGACTGTTGGCAACCTGTTGAGTGCAGGAAACAAATGAGCTAAAAGATTTCTTCCAGCACCTGCTGAGCAGGTAGGCAGGCAAAGCAGGGGATCTTGGAGAAGAAAACTCACAGGAACATGAACAAAGCTTTCTGGCAAGCCAGGCAAATCCAGTGTGCAATACCAAAGATTACACAGATCTGGTGTTCTCACACTTCACACACCCCGACCCCCCAGGCCCCT